TAACTGTATAAAGCAATTTATATTAACTATAATATCCACAACAATAAGTATATAGTTTATACTCAGTTCATAACTCAACACTTTTGTATGAGACTTAGTAGCTTTGGCTCCCGCATGTAGTTACATGCGTTTACCTTATAATAGTCGGAGAGCTATAACTTTAACTACCTAGAGCCGTATTCTACAACTATGGGCAAAGAGTGTGAGTACTCTCTCATGATTTGGCCAACGTATATTAACCATTGAGTAGCGACATAAAGCGTCGGTGCCTTTGATCTTGGGTGGTGCAAATTTTCTTTCTCTTTCTTTCGACGTTATTGACGGAACGACACAGTAAAACACTGCTCGAATTATGAACTGGTCTTGAATGTGATGTTTACACTGCTCGACGTAATTTGAAGATTTCATTTACGCCGTGTCAAAACAATCTCTCCCATCCAGCAACAGCTCACGTGGCATTTTTTTTGCGCTTCTATTGGTTATTCGGTCATTAGTCATTTAGACAAATATTTTTTTGTCAGAGTCGAATTTAGTTCAATTTGGATAATTATAAACGGCGTTTTGATAGCATTCACCGTGTTGGTTAGTTTGGACATTTTGTATGTTTGATTGATTACAATTCATTATATTACAGTTTAGATATACATATATTGTGTTATTTATTTTTGTTTTTTTTTTTGTTTTTGTGGTTGTTGTTAGTTGGAACATTTTTTACTGCTGCTGCGTGACACTATGTCCTCCACAGATACAGCAGATGAAGTCCAGAAAAATGTTTTTACTCTTTCTAAAAAGCGACCGAAAAAGGGACATTTGGTCATCCGTACTAAAGAAGTGGTTCTTAATATTTATAAGCATTAAATTTTATAGAACCTTGATATGTTGGTACATGATGTTGAAAGGAGAGTTGCTGGTAAAACTGGGATGTGCGCTAAAACCATTTTTAATGTTATGAAGGAGTATAGGCAGATTCACAAATTTTCTGAACCAAAAAGAAAGCTACGTTATAAACAAATTAGTGGCTCTGTGGATGATTTTGATAAAAATGCAATAAGGCGCAAAGTACATCAATTCTTTAGAAATTAACTTCCAACAATTGATTAGGTTTTATAAGAAGTCAACGATGATCCTTTAATTTTAAATTTAAAACTCGAGGAAAAAATAGTTTGCTTTTAGACAAAAATTAAATTGTTTCGTCCTACGCCACAAAAAATAAAACGGTACAGAGAAGAAAAGCAAAAATATATTATCTTGATGAGACTTGGATTAACGCAGGCCACACCAAATCAAAAGTATGTTTCGATATGTCGGTTTTTTCATCCAGCCCTTTTGGATGAACTTTTAACTGGTTTTAAAAACCCATCAGGTATGTGCGTAAAAACAGCTCATTATATGCCATATTGGAAGTGAAGAAGGCTTTGTCTCTAATGCACTTTATGTATTTGAGTTGAAAAATCCGGTGACTACCATGAAGAAATGTATGGAGAATCGTTCAAAGAGTGGTTTTTAAACACCCTACTAAAATTAGAAGATAACTGCATTATTATTCGAGAAAGCTGGAAAAAATATCTACGACGTCTAAAAAAGGTGATATTTAAAAATGGCTATAGGGGAAAAAAATGAAACTCGACTACCAAATGCTTAAGATTCAACTTCTAAAACTTGGTAAGCAACATAAACATTATGATAGGTATGTAATAGATGAAATGGCTAAGCAGCAAAACAACATAATACTTCACATGTCTCCGTATCATTGTGAACTTAACCCTATTGAATTAATCTAGGTTGACGTTAAACAATACGTAGCAGATAAAAACTCAACATTTAAATCTGGAGACAGTAAAATTCTTTTTGAAGAAGTAATATTATTAATTTTTTCAGAAAAATGGAAAAAGTGTATCGACCATGTTCGCCAAAAAGTTGAAGTAAAAATGTGGGTGTTGGATAATATTATAGAGGTTCAGGTAGAACCACTTGTAATTTTGATTAATGAAGATAGCCTTTCAAGTCTAACTAATTTATCCAATTCAGAATAGTGCTAAGTCAAGTAAGGAAGATTGCTATAATACAGGGTACAAGTTGTCTAATCTAGATACTAGTAGAACAAGAACAATAAAGAACAAAAGTTATCAAAAATACAAAATATTTCTTTTTAAGATGCACAATTTTAAATCAAATACCAAATTCAAATACCTCTTATATTTAAAGTTTTTTAATGCTTTTAGTAGATATACCGGGTCATTCTATATGGGCGGAACACTTGATTTATGGCTTAACTATGACTTGTACGATAATTTGACTCAGATAAAAGTTTTTGTACATTTTATGTACTATTTATTGACGTTTAAATATTTCCCGCATACGTAATGTTTTTCAACATATGAGGTCATCGGGCAATATTGTAAATAAGTCTGGGACCCACTTAATGTACCATTGATGAAATCAGACAGATCATACGAACTCGAAAAAATATAAATGCAGGATGATCCATTTAAAATATTGCCCGATGACGTCATATCTTGAAAATCGTTACGTATGCGGGAAATCTGTAAACGTCAATAAATAGTACATAAAATGTACAAAAACTTTTATCCAAGTCAAATTGTCGTACAAGTCATAGTTAAGCCATAAATCAAGTGTTCCGCCCATATAGAATGACCCGGTATATTAGCTATTAAAGAATTTGCAATTATTTGGACACTTCGTACAATATAATTTTATAATATGATTGTTTTAATGCTCTGTATTACAGTAGACATATGTAATGAACTAAATATAATGCAACCATCTCTTTTAAAGTCAAATACATTTATTAATTTGTATTGCAGGTTAACACCGAAATGTTCACGTAACCTGCGCATTGTCACTCTAAAATTTTCTCCATTTCTGTAATGGGCCTTCACAATTAATAAACGTTCTTTAAGAGTGTAACGCTACATTTTCGTTAATGTCAATGTTCTGACAGAACACATGCCTAATATGGACCACTAGATGTTTGACAGACGGAAATGGCGCGCGATTCAAAATTCAAGTTCTTATTGGGGCACCCTTCATTAAATATTAGACCAAATATTGCGCAATACACATTTCTTATAAAGGGCGTTTGACTAAGTTCTTGAGCATGTACTTTAATTTATTCTTTTGTGAACTAAGTGTATATTGTAACGTACTTTATAAGGTCCCGAATGGTGGTTTCTCCTTTTTATTTATTGATTAATCTATAGTTTTTGGATGGCTTCTTCGATTTTTCCTCCATAATCAGTGACAAAAAAACTATTGTGCACCACAAAACAATACTACTAATTCGAAAAACAGACGAAAATAAGTGAATAAAAAACGTTGTGCCAACAATTATTATTCTCAATACATTTCATCAAATTTCTAGAGGCTTTCGACGGCTAGACAGAGAAAGCACTACTGACAGGCATCCCGACGGATTTACGCAATGAAAGTACTCTCTGCGCATCAAGTATTTCACTATTTTATTCAGACGTAAATGTCAGATGTAAATTTCACTGAAACATTTCTTTTATTTTCGTTTGTGTTTTTTGCTCATTACAGTTTAATAGAACCTAAGTATGGAGTTTAATAGCAAATTAAGAGGCCGCGTGATTAACAGTCAATCTCGCGAAATAATAGCCAATGTTATAGAGTTTATGAGAAGAGAAGGAAACTTTAATTCACCTTCAATACCATTTAAAAATGTAAATGATCGTGTTGCTGCAGCCACAGGAGTATCTAAAAACACTGTCGTCCGCATTTCTGGAGAGAAAAAAAGAATCGATAACCGTGAGATATCGGAATTTTCATCACCAAGAAAAACCATTAAAAAACCAAAAACAGTTAATGATATAGATGAAGCTGCACAAGAATCAAATTTTATTTTTTTATTATTAGATAGCTATTTTTGTTTCTGAGTTGTGTTCATTTACAGGCTCAATTTTTTTCCGTTTCTCCTTTTTGATTTTATATGGGGTTTCAAGTTGTTTTTGACTTATTTCGACGTAAATCACAACAACACACTTTTTTAATAAAGCAAACAAGTGTTAAGAGGTATATGTACGTGTAAACTACAATTACACAAAATTGATATGAAACCCATGAAACCACCAACAAAAATGTAAAGCTAGCTTCCGTACTAGAACATGGTGTCATTCGTCGAGATAATTTATCGTTTTGTTTAATAGATCAAGAAATGTAAATATTCCCCTGTTATTTTTTATAAAATTATAAGAGAAATAAATTTTTTTCTAAATAGTATAGTTTATTATTTTGTAGAAAAACAAAATTTCGAAAATTTTAGTAATGTTTCAGAAACAACCGTTATTAATAATAGGTACCATTTTCCTTAATAAGGTAGAAATAAAATATAAACTATTTCCACGATTTACAAAGGCCTACAAAAAAATTATAGGTATTTTCCGCTATCCTATAAAATTTATATTATCTGACTCAATTTCAAAAGGTTGAACGAATTCCAAAACACCTTTCATGGCATAATAATTATTTTCAATTCTACATACTATCTTTAGCTGCTTTTAAAAACGTTCTAAGAAAGTCCAATCAGACCAATTTAATCCCTAAACTATTCCACACTTTTAAAATTTAATTACCTAAAAATATTAAAAACTATTTAAAATAACTTGTTTAGCAGACTGTACAATAGCTATCTTAGTCACACGTAGCGCGTTCTCTGTCTGGGCGTCGAACACCTCTAGACATTTGATGAACTGTAAATCTGGAAATCGCTGAGAACTGTTCATTATTGATTCGATTCTCAGATGGAACAACGAATTATAAATTATAAATGGTTTGGTGTTTTTATTGGGACAGTTAAATCATACTACACTTGTGCAGACAAAGTCAAAAAAATTCTATTCTACTGTTGGAATAAACCTCATGTTGTCATTACATTTTTCAATCTGGTAGTACTTGTTTATTGGATAGCTAACGTAGTTAGGTACTAATTTAAGTGTATTCCATTTCAGGGCGAATGGGTGTACCCTTATCGGCCCGGAGATTATGCCACATTAACGCGAAAATATTTAGGATCATTATATTGGTCAACGCTCACATTAACGACCATTGGTGATCTACCGACGCCAGAGACTAATGCCGAGTAAGTCTATATATTTCTTATAATACTTACCTTTCTATTATTTTACTGGTGATTAAATATCATTTCTCCGACCACCTGAACCTATTTCTAATAAACCAATCTAGAAATGTAAAGGGAGAGAGAAACATGTGTGGATATAAATTTAATAAGCCTCACTTTTTTTTGCTTTAGGAAAACAGGATCCGTGGATGGCCCTCGGTCCTTGCCGCGCAGAGGGGTCAAGTCACGACTTCTCCAGTTCAACACCAGTAGCGGGTACGTCCTTCGTTTCTGACACATACCCTGAACCCCCCTCAGTCGTCACTCTGGCAGCGGCAGGATCGAGGGTTGCTGTTGCAGCTTTTCTCAAAATTTTAAAATGAAAAAAAAAAAACGAGTTTTGACAGTTCTTGTTCTCGAACAGCGCCTGCCACTGCCATTGTTTGACGATTTTTTTTTGCTATGTTTTCATGTTATTTGGTGTCGATTTTGGTATTTGTGTGTTGTGCCTGTTCGAAAACAATTGCTTGTTCAATAACTTCTATATGATACTCTCATAAAAGAGTCATAAAATATCTAAATTGAGTTATAAATGAATTAATCTGAGATAGAGAAATCAAATTTAATATTACATGGGAGCGTGTGCTTCAATAAAAAGAAATGCCTCTCTTCAGGACGCTCTTTAGTCCAGTCATATTAGGAGTTTCACTTCGAAAATGTAGATACACTTGTATAAATCTTTATTTTGGTACCCTTAAACTTATATTAAAACCTACTTGCCGTAGGATGTTCGCTATTACAGATATCTAAGGTCAAAGATTTTTTTTTCATATTTTTTGCAAATATCTCATTTCCTATAGGTTTTATTCTATTTGTATTAATTATCAATATTGTAGAAGAATAAATTCTCTACAACAAAAATTTTTTTATATCTTGAATCGTTTTCGAGATAGAAGGCAGAGAGCGTGCAGTGTTAAACTATTTAGAGTATCATTCGAGGACAACTAGTGGTCCCGATTAAAAACATGCCGTATAAAGTCTATAAGTACTTATTAAATATATATTTCTAAATAATTTGCATTATTTATTAACTATTATGTTATATTTTTCCAAAAAAAAGTTCGAAATTTTCTAACTAGAGTTGTCTTAATCAATAAAGAAGTTAAATTTTGAAATATTTTGAATATTTAGTGCCAGTTTCGGCGACACATTCAGTATAATGCGGTTGCTGTGTGTATTAAAAAGAAAAAGAGCTTAAAAATGAAATTTACGATGTCCTAGAAGCACCTACTGAATATTTTTACTTCCTTTTAAATACTTAACGAGCAACTACATAAAATAATAGTAAACTGCTTTTATATACCTTCATACGAATAATAAATAGGTATATCATTTCTTTAAATAGCGAAACTCGAAACAGTTTTTGCATTAAATATTTTCATTTATATGTTTTCAAACTTAAAACGACCTTAACGACTTTAAGATGACTTCTTGGCAATGACAGACGAGAAAAAGCAACTATAGATTGATTATAAGAAGCCTGAATGACATGAAATTAGCCTATAAGAGCTATTTATACACCCGTCCATCCTTTTTTCTAGCCAAGTAACGGTTTAACGTGTCTCTTTCTTCTTGTAATTAGTTTCCAGAGGCTTCTTCGAAATATGTACCTCTAACTATTGTTCTGAAGCCATCTTCATTGTTGCATTGAATGATCTGATTATATTGGATGAGACAAAAATAAAGAAACGAGTTTCTAGTAAATAGCCCAAGCAATGAAGCGCCCAGGACAGAAGTTACCTGTCAAAAAAGATCAATATACAGTTAACATGTATATTATATTCATTAGTTTTTTTTTTATTAACCTTTTACTATCAACTTTTGTACTGTTTGCACTTCTTTTATTGCTGTCTTGCCAAAAACGGTTTATTGCGCCATTTTGGAAAATCCAAGTCCCATCAATAAAAACAAACTGGTAATAATTTTCTTCCTTTTCTTTGGTATATTTTCTTAAAAATTCTGCCCGTTTCACGGCAATATCTGGAAGTTCCATAAGACCTCGCCCTGGTTCATCTTTCTGCCATTTGAAACCTATTTCTAATAATAAGGTATGCAATGATGTGCGACATCCATTGAACAACTCATTCTCATTTAGTTTCACCAACAAGGAATCTAAACTTATATGCTCCTCTGAAATCATACATTAATTTGTAATAATTGTTTAATATTAATTTATATACATATACACTTACTAGACTCGTACATGCTATAAATAATATCTCGAATAGCACTGGTATTCAGAATTCTTGTGTTGGTAACTTTCTTTTGCCTAGAGCGCTTTTTGGTGGTGACTTTAGAACTTAATTGTTCTTTACAGCTTGTGAAATAGAACTAACAGTAGAAAAATTGATAATAAGTGCTTCTGCGACATGCTCAAACAAAATAATTATATTAATTTAACGGTGATACATTATTAATCAACTCACTTCTCTTACAGCTGTTAAAGGTAACAAAGGCCCATTATTATCACGTTCTTTCTCAAAATAATTTATTAGAGAAGCCCCTAGTATCTTGCAGCCACTATTAATTTGTTTTGGCATTTTTCAATAAAAAAATTCACAATAAACGAACACCACTATTAAATTCCTAAAAAATTTGTTCTGAAAAGAACAGTCTGTTAATAATTTATTCTAAAATACAAATAATTTGTTGAAAAGAAATCTATTGATGCAAAATAATACAAAACAAATAACAATTGACAACAATGTATTAAAATTGAAAGCTTTTATTATTATTCACTAGAAAGTATTCCGTTAATAATCTGGCTATACATTTACTACTGTGATATGATAAAAAATACATTTTTAATATGCAATTTTATAAACACGAACTCCATGCGTCTAAATTTGTTCATTTTTTTTTAATTTGGTGTCATCGGCGTCGACTACTACGGCCATTAGCCTCGTGTTCTGTGTAGGCTTTGTTACTGTTTCCCAGCGCCACTTTAGGAACAGCACTGTTAATTAGAACCCAACAGTGAATGGTCGAGTGGGGAATCCTACCAAGGCATCAGAATTAATTTTAAATAATTAAATAAAATGAAAAAATCCCGGCCAACGGTGGGATTCGATCCTGAGACCTTCCGATCTCAAAGTCATGACTCTAACCACTGAGCCAACCCACCCCCCACTTATTCGTTTATTTGTAAAATAAAATTTTATTATTTTTATTAGTGTGTGTGGTACCAATGACTGTCACTGACGTCATCTCTGACGTGCATCGGTTTTTATATTGAATGCTCTATAGCTGATCATCTACATTTTCGAGTTACTTGCCCTATTTTGACTAATATGACTGGACTTCTTCTAGAGGGTAAACTGTAAATACTAAGGTGGTACTACTCTCGCGAGGGCATTGAATTGGACCGGCTTAATTTTAATTTTTGACAGGTAACTTCTGTCCTGGGCGCTTCATTGCTTGGGCTATTTACTAAAAACCTATTTCTTTGTTTTTTTTTCTGATCCAATATAATCAGATCATTTGATGCAACAATGAAGATGGCTTTAGAACAATTATCGAAGAAGCCTCTGAAAACTGATTGCAAGAAGAAAGAAAACACGTTAAACCATTTCTTGGTTAAAAAAAAGGATGGAATATAAACAGCTCTTATTGGCTAATTTTAGGTCATTTAGGCTTCTTATAATCAATCTGTAGTTGCTTTTTTTCGTTTATCATTGCCAAGAAGTCGTCTTAAAGTTCGTTAAGGTCGTTTTAAATTTGAAAACATGTAAATGAAAATACTTAATGCAAAAACTGTATCGAGTTTCGCTATTTAAAGAAATGATATAGCTATTTATTATTCGTATGAAGGTATATAAAAGCAGTTACTATTATTTTATGTAGATGCTCGTTAAGTATTTAAAAGGAAGTAAAAATATTCAGTAGGTGCTTCCGGACATCATAAATTTCATTTTTAAGCTCTTTTTCTTTTTAATACACACAGTAACCGCATTATACTGAATGTGTCACCGAAACTGGCACTAAATATTCAAAATATTTCAAAGTTTAACTATATTGATTAAGAAAACTCTGGTTAGAAAATTTTGATCTTTTTTTGAAAAAATGCTGTTTTTATTTGGTCTATCATTATATTTATTTTTTTTTTCCACATAATAATTACATTTCAATGATTTCGTTGCTTTAATATTTGTTTTCGTTTTCAGATACATATTTACTATAGTAAGTTACTTAATTGGAGTCTTCATCTTCGCAACAATTGTAGGTAAGTTCAAAAATACTTTTTTTAAGTTTTTTGTTGAGAGAAAAAGGGAAATATCAATATTTGTTAATTTTGGACATTTTGTTAAAAATTGGTAAAAATAGTAAAATACTCATAACATTACCATCTAAAATATTTTGACAGTTCTGTCTTTTCCATTTATTCTAGATTTCGATAAAACATTCAAAACAAAGCTATATAGTTTATTATACAAAGTGACCCTTAAATTAAAAATTTATTAAATTGAATTTACCATTGCTGGGGTATTAAAATAATATTTATTTTTGGCTAGAATTAGTTAGAACTTGAAGGTTTTTTAATTGAATTATAATAAAAACGGTAGTAGTTAACTAACAGATGAGATTAAAAGATTTTGTTACACGGTAAAAAAAAATATGTTTGGATTTAACAAAACATCAATATTTTAATTTTTTATTTTTTATTTCATTATATTCTACGGTCAAAAATAAGTAAAACTCTTGTTTATTTCCTAATACTCATCTTAAACGGTTTTTGATAAAAAGTTAATATTAAAATAATTTAACAATATTTAGGATAAATGTAATTAATAGTAGGCATCTTAAAACTTAGTGTCAAAACGTCAGAATCTTTGAGGAGCAGAATAACCTTCTTCAGCCAAACAGATTACTTGATTTTGTCATTTTAGATAAGCATTTTTAAGTAAATTATATAAAATTTATTTGTCCAAAAATAATTCGTTCAAAAATGATTAGTCCATAATTTGTCCAAAAAAAATTATAAACAAAATTGCCCAAAAAAATATGTCCAAAAATAATTGGTCTAAAAATATTTTGCCAAAAAGAAATTGTCCAAAAAAATTTGTCTAAAATAAGTTGTCGAAAAATAATGTATAAAAACAATTTTTAGAAAAATAATTTGTACTGAATAAATATAATTAACAAGAAAAATTTGATAAATTAAGTATATATTTATCTTGCCAATAAATCTTTGCAGCGCCCCCCCTAGAACGAATCCTAAATCCGCCATTGTAGATTTAAGACGTTGTCCACAAATTAATAATTACAATAGAATTTTAAATATAACAATTTCTATTTTTTTACGCTTAAACGTTCTCAATATTTTCCAGCTTATAAGCCTTTCGATGTTCTTTCCTTTTTTTCTAGTCAGCTTTCCACATATTTTATTAACCATTAATTTCCGCAATTTTACTGTGCTATATCAAATGCTATAAAGAATAAAACCGCCAAGAACATCGTTCGGTGAACAAAAATAAAACAATGACCAGATACGAAGCTTTGGCTGTGATGTGCGCTCGCTTTCCGATAGAGATATTACACTCGTGTAGATCCATCCGTATCTGTTGTACTCACGATTAACTTATCCTACGGTTTCGAACAATATAGTATATTGTTTGCTTCTGACGTGCCAATGATGAATGACTAGCACCCACACTCAATACTCAATCGATGTATATGTAATCTTTAACGCGTCATTTGGAAGATATTTATTGCCTGGTGCTACTCCTTACTCCTCAACTACGTGCCGTCGATATAGGCTTGCCAATAACGTGTAACCCGGATACTCCGAGTTTACATTAAAATTCGGGTCAGTAGCGTAAGTCAAATGTCACAGAAAATTACTACTCTTTAAAGGGGTTATGATGGACAAGTAATGTTATTTGTGAACAGATTGTTATTTCTGTGTGTTTATGTTATTCCAGTCGTACTTAACCAATAGAAGACAATATGTGGCATTTTCGGGATTTAAATCTGTAGAATACCTAGCTCCTTTTGGGGTACCCCAAGAGAGCAACTTGGGGCCTCTTTTATTTAACATATTTATCAATGATATTACAAATATAATCTGGGTCAACTATCTTTTACATGCAGATGACATGAAGTTATTCTGTGAGATAACAAATGTTGACGACTGTGTTCGGTTAACTAATACCTTAAATAATGTAGTACAATGGTGCACTGATAACAAATTACCTCTTAATCCAGATAAATGCAATGTTATGTCTTATACGTTGAAATTCTGTCCCACAATACATCCATATTCCATTAATGACGTAATTTTAACTAGACCAATAAAACTAATTGATCTAGGAGTGACGTTTGATAAACAACTTAATTTCATAGCTCATATAGAAAATATTATAACCGCAGCGAATCGAGTCTATGGATTTGCAATACGTAATGGCAGAGATTTTCAACATTATTCAACATTAAACACCCTATATAATACATATGTCCGTTCTAAATTAGAGTATTCATCTATAGTTTGGTCTCCCTATTACTCGGTACACATTGATAATATTAAATATATGTCCAAAGACGCTTTTTAAAGTACTTATCATTCGTAAATAATGGAATATATCCTCCCAAAGGTACTGCACAAGCATTATTACTTGTGAATAATGGAATGAAAAGTCTCAGTGCTGGTCGAGAATGCTATTATGCTGTTATCTTTTTCTTTTTCATTTATTTTGTTCAACTGAATATTTTCAATATTTTTCTTTTTGTACTAATTTCTATATTGTGATTACTCCCACTCTGTAATAATTGGTTTTTGTTGAGTGATGTAGAAATAACTAAATAAATTTTTATTATTAGCAAACCGTTTAATAATTCCATCCGCTTTTATCCTTCGTTGTTAATTGAGATATCGGAATGAAAACTTTTTTGTTTAAAAGCTTATAACACATAATTTCATTCACCGGATCCAATTGGTTTATGGCTTCATGCCTTTACTTTTGATTTTTCCGGATATAACTTAAAACCGCACTTTATGTTTTAATTTAATATCAAAATCCCTTTTTTATTGAAAATTTGAATTTCTGGGATATTATTGAAAATTTTCTTTCAGCTCTCAAAATAGCCGCTGTATTGGATGGTATTTTTTCTAAACATGTTACTATTAATTCGTTAATCAAAAAAAATATGGGAATGTATGATTTTTATAAAATCATTGTAAGCTTTAAAAGTCCTTTCGAGACCCACTTACAGTACACCAGTAGCGTATCTAAGCATTTTCATTATTAGCAAACCGTTTAATAATTCCTTCTGCTTTTATATTCTTTGTTAACCCATTACGGGCCAAGACAAGTAAAACAAGATGTATTTATATTTTTTTTTTTTATTAAAGTGTATTTAAAATACATAATTTAAGACTTATTTCAAAAAAAAAATCAAACAGTTTTTGAAAAAAAAAATCGTGGGTGCGTATACGCACGCTTGGCCAAAAACAGTTAATTGTATTACAAATAGAATATATTTTTTTAAGTGGAAATTGTCTAAAGCAGTCTGGGTGCAAATGCACCTTACACTTTTTACATAGATAAATACTGTTACTTTTGTAAAATCGACACTTTTTCCTTGCACTATTAACCTCCCTAATTATGATATGTCCGATGTTGTCAAATCTCACATCAGCTGGAAGAGCAGATTTGGAGGGTCTTCCATTGTTTGAATTGGATACTGTAGTATTTGAAGTAACATCGATGTTCTCTTCCTTTCCGTCATACTTTAGCAAGGAGAGTGCTAAGTTCGAGCAAAATTCTACTTGTGATATTTTGGATTCATTTGCTATATTATAGACTTTCCAACTGTTTACCACCATGCTGCCTATCAGATTAGTAAATAAAGGCCATCACCATTTTTTGCCTCTTATTCCGATGCGATAGTTGGCGATACCGTTATCATGGAGGTCTACCCCATTCATATATTTATTTTATTGATGGATTACATTTGGCCGAGAGATAAAAACTTATTTGCGCTCCTACCGGTTATAGCGTTTTGTCTGCATGAGTGGCAAAACATTTCATGCATTTGTCATTACCGTGACTACAGAATTGTCATTCCATTTTGTTACAAGAACTCCCAAGTTTTAATTAACTGCAGAAGTATAAGAGCCTCTTTCCTTTTTTGCCATGGCTTTGTTATCTTCAACTTGGCATTTAGCGGTTCGATTATCTCTCACTGTTCCAATTGCAAAGAAGCTATTTTCTTTTAAACTTTCAAAAAGGGAATAGGACGTGAAAAATATTTTATGCTGTTTTGGATTTTCTACCACAGACAATATATCTAAAACAACTCTTGTTCCTAATGGTGTATTTTTGTCTGAATTTTCTGCTTTTCCGCCATATGGAATAAACTTAAATAGGTAAACGGTATCGGAACAAAGACACCATATTTTGTTCCCGAATCTCACTGGCTTTGCACGAATGAACATTTTGCAGGAGTGACGTCCGAAATATGAAACCATTTCTTCATCTATTGAGAGATGTTCTGCAAAGATCTCAAATTGTATACATTTCAAAAATAGGCGCAAGCTTTGCAAATTTGTCATTTTTATTTAGCAGCGTGTTATCTGACAAATGAAGGTTTTGCTTTATGGATCTAAATTTATTTCGGCTCATGTTCTCTCTTACAACAAGAATTTCTTTAACTTCATCTTTTGACCAGTACAAGTCAGTTTGTGGAAGTTGATGATACCCAGATAATATAAGTACACCAATAAATCTCTTCAAGTATATTTTGGTTAGTTCAAAACCGTGACGGTTGTTTTGAGAATCACAAGTATTTGAAAAAAGCAAAATATTGTCAATTACATCCTTGTCAAAAAACAGCGAAAATATTTCAAAAAGCGACTCACCACCATGTTCAGCTTTTATATTCTCTATATGTCTATTAGAACAGGCGTTGGGTAAGGTAGTATAAGTTGTTGTGCTTACTTTTTCCAGTTTGGATTTCCCAGTGTTTCGAGACTAACTTAGAACGTTTTGCTAATGCACTCAATGGAAGGTCAACTTCGGAATCAGAATCACTATCAATAATATTTGATTGTATTTCGTACGTTCCTGCAATATCAGTTTGCAGTGTCTCTTTCCCGATAATATTTTCGTCAATGTTTTCCTCATATGTCATTTCGTCCGTTTCTGGTAGCACATAAACAACATCTATTTATTCAGCATTTTCACAATCTGAGTTCTTCTCGAATAGAGTAAGTAGCTCTAAAGC